CATCTTCAAATGGCATTCGAACAGGGTCCGACATTCTCCCCTTCTTAAACCATGGCGTCCTCGATATGGTCTCTTCAGGGCTGGAAAGACTTTTCCAAGCTGATAGCTCTCAGGAGACTGCTTGTTACATCCAGGCACATCTGTTGCACGGCTAAGTGCTGTTGGAGGAGTTTGGCTTGCACCGACTTAAACCTGTAGTACTGAGGGGGCCTCCGGTTACGCACAGGTCGGGCATTGGGGTTTGACTCCGGTGCCACTGACGTCGAATCACCTGATGCCAGGTCACCAGCATCGTGGTTCGAATACTCTCCCTCCTTGATTCTGTGACCATCATAGGTAGATGATTCGGGGAAACTAGAGTCTGTGCTCGCAACTGACAGCATCGTCTCGTCAGAGTTAACTTCGAGGGTTAACTTGGCAGATTCTCTCTCTTCCGGGATGGAGAAATGGGGCGGAGTGGGAAAGGGCGAAGTGGTTAGGGGTGCATTCCACCAAATAGTTGTATTTCTGCGCGCGAGCTCATTGATATTTTGTGATCCCACGGGGTTTTTACAATAAGACATGCCATAATCAGGAGGCCTTATACAAATATTTCTAAAAATCCCAAATTTGGGACTGAGAGTTTCCAGTTCAGGGTATTTCTTTCACAAAAAGCCCCAAATTGCGGACCTATTTTGCATAGAGGCGGGCGGCTACATTCACTGAAAAATGAGCGCTTAGTTTTACTGCTGTTTTGGGGAGTCTTCCTCGAAAGATGAATAAAAAAGATTTTGGTGGCTAACCCCCATGAAATTGAAACGAAGTGATCTTCTGGCCATAATCTTGAATTTCCAGTAAAAAAACGGACGCCAACCTCAGGAGAGTCACCAGGGGGCGCTATTTCTGTCCGTTTTGCACTGTTTTCTATGGGCGCGTATTTAGTGTAGTGCAAGCATTAGGGGCGAACTCGTTGGAAATGGGGCGATGTGTATGAGTGTAAACCGTACCCCTCGGCCTACCACACTTTTGCTTTTTTCCGAACGCGTTTGCCTTTGTCGTGGAAGTTGGGGTCTAGTAACCAACGAGCGCGCATTGTGAAACATTAACAGCGCGATCGTAGGGCCAGGGTGAGCTAAGGGTTATGACTCAGATCAGAGATAGCATGGAGGCAGGTGAGTGGAATGTTCATTTTCTTTAAAAAAAATTACTCGGTTTGATGGTCTGTAAGTGAGTGAAACTACCGTTCTACCATTTTGCAAGAGCTATAGCCAGTATACTTTATAGGTACCTCTCAAGGTTACTTCACAGGATAATTTGATCGGTCAATTTAAAAACAAAACTCGTACTAGGCCCAGCATGAATAGACCTACGACATAATGACGTAATGCAGTGTTTACCGCGGTGCATTGTGGGTGAAAGGCGGGAATGTTGCAGGAACACGTCGACGTGACACGTTATGTGTAACGTATACTATAAGTATATGGCGAGTGTATCGACCTGACACGAAAAAAAGAAAAAAAATCCTGAATATCGTCCAAAATGGTGACATGTGAACTGCTTTGTTCCATTGTGTTTAATCAAGTACTCAACAATTTGGATAAGTTCCAAATCTAACGGGAAACAACCTCCTCCCACTAATTTGTCCCCGGGAAAATTGTTGGATCCGGTACATCTTAAGTTTTGTCTCTGCCTACGAAATGTAGACTGCATACAGAGGTACATGTACTTGGACTTCGCTTTGATGGCCTTATTTCTCACGGAAATTTGTCGCCTTTTGCAGTCCTGTGGCAGTTAAAAAAAAACGCAGCTCTGGCATTCGTTGAGTGCTTGATAAACACAATGGAACACAGCAGTTCACATGGACCATTCGGACGATAATCGGGAATTTTTTCTTTTTTTTGATTTTTTTAGGTGTCAGCTCGATACACACGCCATATAGTACATGTTACACGTAATGTGTCACGTTGACGCGCTCCTGCAACATGCCCACCTTGTACAATGATTTGTACAATTTTTGAGCATGTATTATACTGTTAATGGGTGGACCTAAAATAGATGGACAAAATGTGTCCACAAAATTCAATAGAAGTTAAGGGACTTGGCAGTTCCTTGTTGAGGGGAGAGGGCATTATCCAGCAAAGCTTTGGCACATTTCTGTTGCTAGCAATTTACTAATATCTATCGATTTGTTCCATCGTAAAAGTTATACCAAATACATTTTTTTAGAGATGGTGAACTTTTTCAGAAAACGCTGGCTAGATAAATATTTTTTTCATAAACTAGACTGATATGAGAGTCAAAAATGGCAATTAACAATCATGATCTCTTATGCCTGAATTTAAAAACGAAACATCACCCTAGTTTGAGGTTTAAAAACTTTGACACAGCCTAGCTACCTGTAGTCCATTGCTCTAAAATCGAACTCGTCACTGCCAATTACCACTTCAGTCTGCTTATTTTATCTTTAGTTTATACGAATAAAAAAGGGAAAGGCCGATCAACAGCATGATTTGTGCATGATCGCACGTGTGCATACTGTGTTCCTGATCAGTATAGCGTCGCTCTCGCCTATTCATCCCGATCATCATACCTGCAATGTAATCCTCTTTTCATTTCTCAGTTATTAAGATAAGAAACTGTTTCATTTTAATAAAAAGCGGATCTCTACAATATTGTGTATTTAGACATCTTTAACAAATAAACTCTACGAACAAATTAAACATGTGAAACACTTCAAAGAGAGATCGTTCTTCCTGTACAAGTATAAGAACCCTGCATATACAAAGCCTTCTAGGCTAACCGAGGTTATTCTTATAAAATAACAGGTTGTGGGGCAATTTACATGTATGTTTATAAACAGAAATCTAAAGCAGAACAAAATATGAACATTTTAGGGCTAACCAATAGTGGGTTTATTGGTCAGTCTGAAGCCCCTGATTGGACAAAAATGGAACTGCATTGGCTCGATGGCAGGTGGGTTAAAGCCGGGTACCAATCACAGCCTCCGTGTGCAGCAGGCCAGAGACATACATGTACCATCACTGGAAATCACACACCTCGGATTCCTGTAGTGTGCGTGCGTGCACTTTACAACTAGACTCAAGAACGGATGAATTACGTCTTCAAAAGTAACATTGTCTTTCTCTTACTTTCCTTGATTTTGCAGTCCATGGATCGTTCTGAAATTCCTAAACCCCTCCAGACGGATACATGTAGATAAGACCACGAAGGACTTGTAAACGTGAAAAATTAGTTTCTTCAACAAGGTAAACCAAGAACAAATTAGAACCAAATTTGTGGTTTTTATACCCTGGACGTCAGTCATAATGAAATGAAGGCAACGTCCAACCTGGGCTAATAGGCCTGTGTACTACCAGCCCCTTACAGGTTGCACTACACCAAATACGCACCCATAGAAAACAGTGCAAAATTGGACCGAAGTGGCACTGCTTGTTGACACTCGCGAAGAGGTTGGCCTCCGTTATTCACTGGAAATTCGAGATTATGGCCAGAAGATCACTTTTCATTTCAATTTCATGGGGTTTAGCCACGAAATTTTTTTTTGTAGTCTTTCAAGGAAGATACCCCAAAATAGCAGTAAAACTAAGCGCTCATTTCTGAATGTAGCTGCCTGCCGCTATCAAAAATAGGCCCATCATTTTGGGCTTTTTGTGCAAGAAATACCCCGAACTGGAAACTATCAGTCCCAAACTTGGGATTTATAGAAGTATTTCAATGATACCTCCTGATTATGGCATGTCTTATTGTAAAAACCTCGTGGGATCACAAAATATTAATGAGCTTGCTCGTAGAAATACAACAATTTAGTGGAATTCACCCAGCACCTAGTGTGGCACAGACTCCTGCTACCACTCCATCCTTGGCCACACATCCATATACGCAAGTTTGTGGGGGGTTCATTACCTTTAGCACCCTCTTCCTATATTATAAGGGAAAAAAATTCTTCTTTTTCGAAACAACGTATCATTCTAAACAAGTTGTTGGTGATGTCCTCTTTCATATTAGAGAGAAAAGAGAACAGTGTTTATGGTTTAAGGGCAATTTTGGGGTAAAATGGCAGTGTACATGACCTCTCTGAAGAGAGCTGTGATTGACAAATAAGCGAATGTAGTCTGGTTCCACACCTAAGTACCCTCATAATGAACTTCTACCTACAATGTATATCGAACATCCAGGTTCAAGTGCGTTTTGTAGAATTTAACCTACATGTATATTGTCAAAAAATGATTTTTTTTCTCTATCATCCTTACCTCTCATCTCTCGACGATCTGGGCACATCTGCATTCTCTCATGGCCGTACGTAACGTGACAAAACAGAAGCAGTGTGTTTGTGCAACGAACGTTTATGTTGCTTTGGATACTAGTCCTGATAATTCTGACTATTCTTGTTAAGATTATGTATAGAGGCATCTGGGAAATCTGTAGTCAGGGAACCACACAAATCCCCTAGGTTGCTAATATTATTGCAGAAAACTCGCCTTTTCCTTGTTTTCAGGAAAAGATGTTGCCTTTTTGTTGCCGTCTTCCCACTCCAGACGAATTTTGGCCTGCCTTGTACATTACACATACTCCTTTGTATGGTTTAGTAATGGTAGCCTGTATGAGAGCCTGTCTAGTTTGACCCAGACTTCAGCACTTACAAATTTCGCATATCTGCAAGAGTACCTGTCGATCTACCGGTAAGTACTCGTGGAAAATCACTGCTGTTTTGTGTTGTGTTGCAGCTAATGCGCAATGCCCTTGGCTGGTTCCCTGTTCAGTCACACTGCTTGCAGCAAGTAATTGGTAGTGCGGCTCGCTCTCTCTGATGTGACACAAAAGTGACGAAACAGCTGTCAGTTTTGTGCAAGTGGGGCAAAATTCATCCGGAGTGGGAAACGACCAAAAAAGGGCAATGTTTTTTCCTTCAAACAAGGAAAAGGCAAGTTTTCTGCAATTAGCAACCTAGGGGATTGTTTACCCCATAAGTAGTGAACATACCGGTACTATTACAGCTTATAAAATCAAG